TCCTTTAAGAACATCAGGAAGAAGGAACCCACTGTACAACTCCAGTCGTGCATATATTTTCACGCGTGCTTAATGTTCACTACCATGCATAGTTTTACTGATTTCATTGGGATACTTGTGGTCAGAAAGTTCAGCATGAGTGTCAGTCTTTACCTGTTTTTAAGATGGTAAATTGATTTTCCTATAGTTTCATTAACCTGTTTTAAATATCCAATAGTGTGTATTTCTTTCTGAGGTTGAAGTAGGATGAGAGTTTACCAAGTCATACATATACTAGAAAAATGGGTCAGAGTTAAATGGGGTTTGTTAACTAACCTTGATCTAACCATCATCATCTTTCAATGTGCTAGTTAGTATTTACCTTGACTGAATTAGGATTCCAGCTATACCCCATTATGCTCAATGGAGGTAACTAGTGCTGCACTATGTTCATACTCTTGAAACAAACAAGAGCAAAATGGGTGCAGATTCGTTCTATTTGTTTTTTAAAAGATTTCATCTGTTAGCCAAAACCCTGACTGCTCAGAATAATAGCCTGAAAGATGAAGGTATGGGTATAGACATTGTAGAAAGCCAAGGCCTTGGGTTTTTTATATGTAATGCTTGTAATTGTTGTCAGACTTTTCTGTGGTATTCCAAGTGAAGATAGAACACAGATGTAAGGTTTATTAGTGTGTCGGTCTGAATGCACTCTAGCCCACTGCCTAACTCGTGGAAACTGGAACTCCGCTGAAAAATATTTGTCTATAATGAGTAAACTAAAATTCCTGCCCACTTCATACATTGAACATTTTCAGAGATTTCTTTATAATTAAATCAATTAAGTCATGTAAAAGATGGGAATAAACAAAAAGAGTATCTCTGATGCTTTTCCATCTCTTCACTTTAATGGCAATCACTGCTACCCTACGCGAGGCAGTCAAGTCCTGAGGGATAGTAATAGGAACCACAAAGTGGGGTGAAAGGAACATATTCCATATTACAATAGCGAGTGCATAGTTTAGATCACATTGATCACTTGTTAAATTTTTCATTTGTTAGGGATTCAGATTAGTGCTGAACATTCATATCTTGCTTCCAAGGTATTCATGTGTGAAATTTCTGTGTTCAACATTTAGGTGCCAGCATCTTACTCTCTTGGGACAGGGACTGGTTTCTTGTAAATGTGGATAGCACCTTGCGTGTTGCAAACTCTTCTGGAACACAGACACTCATAATCAGAGTCACACTAACTTGTGGCTATTTATTTTTATCACCTCTTTATAATTCCCATTATTTTTATAATGTACTAAATGACCTACTATAAATATGATGGATGCCCAAATATTTTTCTGCACATTGCCAACTGTATCCACAGAAGGCATGAAAAAGTTTCCAATACCCAATAGGTAATCTGTAATTATAATCTATATGAATAGTGTGTGATAAGCAGTGTTCCCTTAATCAGCCCTTGCCAAGTCAAAGGCTCAGGGATCTGAGCATGGAGCTGTCTGACTAGGTGGGGCAGATTAATCACCTGTGAAGCTGTGCTGTCACTCAATTTAGAGGGAACACTGGTTATAAATAGTAATCACTTTAAATATAATGCTCAAGGACCTAGCATTAGAATAGCAACATGTTTCTGGATATGAATGAGATTTTACTGTCAGAACTATATAGCACCTGGTTCAAAAAACTCTGTTTCCCCTCAAACTCATGATTGTCAAACTTGCATTCACTTCTAATTTTTTAATGTAGCTTTAACCCCAAAGTGTTTGGATTTCTGTTTTATGGATATTTTTTACTGGACATTTAAGATAAATGGAGTCAGAGCTTAATATTGACTGAATGAAAAAAAATAGGGCTGTCAATTAACCTGCATTAATGCCTGCAATGCACAGGATTAACACGTTAATTTTTTTAACACGTTAATCGAAGGCATTAATGCTGTGCTGCCCCTTTAAAGTGCCACTCTGGCACTTCAAAGGGGATTGGCAACAGCGGAGCTGTGGGTCAGCTGGAGTCCCTGGCTGATACTGGGCTCTGCTGTTGCAAAGCCACTATGAAATGCCAGAGTGGCACTTCAAAGGGGCTTTGCAACTTGGAGATGGGGATCAGCTGGGGACTGCAGCTGATCCTTGCCTCTGCTTGCGCTGTGCCTTGGAAATGCCACCTCAGTGCTTCCAAGGGGCATTGCTGCATGGCACCTGGGGTCAGTTGGGAATTCCAGCTAATCTCAGGCTCCATGCAGTGCTGTCCCATTGAAATGCCGCAGCAGCATTTCAAAGGGGAGTTGCGCATGATTAATTGTGATTCAATTTTTAATCGCTTGACAGTCCTTAAAAAAAAAAAAAAAAGCAAAACACCCTAAACACCTAAGGCTTTCTTTTTCTCTCCTGGTTTGTAATACCTCAGAATTTACCTTTCATAGGATATCACATTTTTCTGGCTGCTGAATGAGTAACCTGCTATCGCTTGGTTGAATCATTTGTCTGGCCTATAATTGATTTGCAGATGTTAAATTAGTCTATTAAAAATAAATCAGAGCTGCAGTAGCGTGTCTTCCATACTTTAGAAATACATATATATGGGATACTTTCAATGAACAGAATGGCTTCACATTTAACTTTGGCACTTCATGAGTTATGACTACCCACACAATTTTAATTTGACTTCCTTGCATACATACAATGTGATACAGTGCTTAATTATGTGATTACATGTTATGAGGCCCCTGCCTTATTCACTGTGGGGGTCAGCTGGTTAATGAAGCAGGATGTGTAGTGATGGAAGTTGTTTAGAGTCTCTCTGTTTCATTCATTGAAAAAGTTGAACAGTGAATAATTAATGAGGTGGGAGTCTGGAGAAGTTCTTGATTGTTCACTGCTGATGTTGTATTGAGTGGAATCGTATAAGGTAGGGATGTAAGCGACTAGTCGACTATCCGATAAGCACTTGCTTATTGATAGTTGACTAGTGACTCCAGTAGTCACTTTCCCTCTACTTGCTGCCTCCAAGAGAGGCAGCAAGGATGGGGAGCAGGATCCGATGCTGGGGGTGGGAGGGAGCTGGCTTAAAAGCTGTTTTCCCCCCAACACCGATATGCTCTTGCTGCATTTCAAAAGTAGAAGTGCTGTGGGGAGTCTGTGGGGAGCAAAAATGCTGTGGGAAGCACTCAAACACTTCCCCACTGGCCCCACACTCCCAGTGGCGCTTCTGCCTTTGAAATGTAGCAAGAGCCGGCAGGGCCACTTAATTTAATCTAGCTCATGGTAAGTTTCTGTGCAATGGGCCAGAAGCTCTGAGCCTTGTGTGACCTTCCCTCCACCCTCCATTGGGCTAGGGTTGGCTTGCAGTGATCAAGGAAGCTCAGTACTCTGTAGGCACTGTTTGTGGGAACCATGGCCAATGGGAGCTGCAGGGATGGTGCCTGCAGGCAAAGACTAAGGATGTTGAGGACTAGTCGACTAGTCAATTCCCTACCGCCCCTTGCTGCCTCTGTCAGATAGAAGCAGCAAGCGGAGGAGGGAATCAACTCATCGACTAGTCCAGAGGTGTCCAAACTTTTTTCAAAGAGGGCCAGATTTGAAGAAGTGAACATGCGTGAGGGCCGTCCCCGCACTCTCAGCCCCAAGGCAGAGGGCCCGCAGGGTCGGAGGCGGGCGGAGAGTGCAGGGCACGCCGGGGGCAGGGCGAACCCGCAGCAGAGCAGGGGAGCGGGGCTGCGGATGTGCCCTACAGGGCAGGCTCTAGGACCGCGTGGCGGGGGGGCCGGAGGCGGCGCGCTGGGCGCGCCAGTTCAAAAGAGTGCCGGGGAGCCAGGAGAGGAAGCGGGGGCCGTATTAAATCGGAACACGGGCCGCAATTGGCCCGCGGGCCGGACTTTGGACATGCCTGGACTAGTCAAAAGCATTTGCTTATAGGATAGTCGACTAGTCTTTAACATCCGTAGAGTCAATGTGGCTTCTGTTTGAGTTAAAAAATAAGTAAGTACTTGGCTTCTCGGATGGAAAGAATAGGGCATGGGCCTAGAAATAGGGCATTGTTAGATGTAGAATGAAATGTTAAATTTTG